GGACTTATAAAGTTACCCTAAACTTTTCTCTGAATTCTCCTCCCAGGAGAGGTCACTTCTTTGACATTTCTTCCTAGAATCTCTCTTGGAAGAAATTAATTAAGGTTGTATAACTGAAGAAGGTAATTTCCAAGACTGAAACTTTTCTAGCCTAAGTTATATTATAGGTTTGCTCGTGCTGAAATTGCTTGCCTTTCTAGTTCATTTGTTTTTCCAGTTGAATCTAGTGGAGCCAGATATACAAGGTACTCCTTGGATTATTATTAAGTTGGGAAACTTAGTACAAAAGTGGAACCAATAATTCTTTAACTTTTTTGGAGTTACTGTTGGGTGCTATTTGTAATTCCTTCTTGTCTTTATACATGAAAAAGTTACAATATTTTATTAAGAGACAGTTTAAAAATATTGACTGCTATATAACAAATCTCCCAAAACTTGCTCCTTTGAGGCAATAATTTATCATTTTCTACTGTTCTGTGGGTTGACTGGGCAGTTTCTTCGCTCTCTGTAGTCTAAGCTGCAGGAAACTTGGAGTTAAGCTGGGGCTGGCCCATCTAAGAAGGCCTGGTTCCCATCCATCTGGCTTTTCACTACAGCAGGTCTCTTATTCCCCAGGGCTTATCTCTACATGTGTGCTCATTATTCTATTTTCTAACCCAAGGTTCTTACATGACAGCCGGAGCCCACATGAGTCAAAGCAGAAGCAGCCAGTTCTTAGGTGTAGATCTGGAAGTTTCATGGCATCACTGTTGCCACATTGTCTTGACCAGAGCACATTATTAGACGAGCTCATATTCAGTAGTAATAGGGAATATTTGGTCACTGTTAAATCACTATAGAATCTATAGATAAAATTGGTAGACAGGATTTAATTGGAGATGAATAACATTTAAAAAATGGTTAGATTGGTAAGTTGTGATGTGCAGAGAGTAAAATAAGGCATAATTAGATTTTGTAATTTCTTTTGAGATGATGAGTATGTTTTGTTTTTTTTAAGATTAAAAAAAATTTTAAGTGGGGCCTCTTAGAACTTTAACAACAATCTATACATATATCCATTTTGTCAAACATATCTTTACATATATTGTCATCATCTTTTTCAAAACATTTTCTTTCT